TGTCTAAAGAGAAGAGGAGGATCTGGGACAGGGCCCAGAAGTCATCTTCTGTAGCCGGAAGTTTTTGTCCTGCCCGGTCCCATAGCTGTTCAGTCCCAAATAAACACACAAAGGCTTATATTAATTATAAACTGTTTGGCCTACTGCTCAGGGTTATAATTAACTGACTCTTATGCTTAAATTAACCCATAATTCTTATCTATGCTTTGCCATGTTGTTCGTGGCTGTTACCTCATTTTCTATACATCTTGCTTCCTTGGAAGCTGGCTGGATCTTCTTCTCTGCCTTTTCTCTCCACAGCCTTCTCCTGGTCTGGTCACCTCGCCTGCACTTCCTGCCTGGCTACTGGCCATTCAGTGTTTTATTAAACCAATGGGAGTGACAAACCTTTACAGTGTACATGAGCATCATCCCACAGCAATCTTCCTCCTCTGACTCCTGCTGCAATGTCCAAAATTAATCCTCTACAGCCCAAGTTCATAGGGTGCTAGCTGGACTCCAGTTGGCTGAACACGGTATGCAAATAGGGTGAGAAAATAAGACCAATCAGGGATATATAGTCAGACTTAGTTGGGGAAGGGAAGAAGCCAGAGCCCACTGAAATTGTTAAAGGTTACAGTCATGCCCTGAAGCATACGGGGCCACCCACCCTTAACACCAGTGATGGCTTCTGTACCACTCTGTTAGCTGGTATATGGTTCACAGAGCCTTAGGCACCAATGAACTTGCAGCTAAAAACATTCCAACCTCCCTATGTCTGTCTCCCCACTCAGTCTCCCCACTCATCTCTCCCTTCATTTTCCAGACCTCTTCCCCCTCGTTCTCTCTCAGTTGGAACGAAAATCAAGATCCTGTTGGAAAACAATGAGATAAAGCCCTTACTTGCAACCACAAGGGCCAATGCACCATCCACTCACAGTGTGGGGTTTGGAGCTGGAGGGAGCCGCACAGGGCTAGCTGGTGGAAGCTCTGATTTCTTGGTAACCATCTCTCTGAGTGTGTATCATGTTTATATTTTAAAGAAATATTTCTTAGGTGGTTGGGCAAAACTTCCAGGAATTTGGGAACAGCTGAGGGACTAACACCCCGTTACCATTGCTGGTCTTAGGACAGCTATACTGGAGGCACCACTTACACACAACGGCAAGTGATTCAAGACAGACATTACCATCAGCTGCTAACACTGTCAGCTCCCGGAGATGCCTCACCTCGGCCCAGACCTTTGAGGAGATGGACTCCCCTTGTCCCCTCTCTTCATCTCTCAGTGTGTTCGCCTTTAAACCAGGTACCTCTAATGTGGCCTCTGGAAGGAGGAAGTCGATGATCTACTTGAGCCTTAAATATGAGCTCCAAGCTCAATAATTCAAAGGAAAAAGGGCAAGAAGGGACCAGCGGCAGTTGAGGTGGCCTGCAGTTCTCTTCAGTGTCTCAGGATTAAAATAGCTCCTTAGTTCCTACACATCCACCTCGGGAACAGAGCAGTGAAAAGCCTGTTGGCTGATGCAGAGAGGCAGGTCGTTTGGGACAGAGCATGGACTAGGCTTCATAAAACACATACATCTGGGTCTGGAGAGAGATCTCAGCCACTAAAACAATTGTCTCACAAATATGAGGACCTGAGTTCAAACCTCAGAAGTAAGTTAAAAAGCTTTATGCAATGGCAGGCCTTGTAGTTCTCAGCAATGTTGAGATGGGAGAGTAGACAGGCAGGCCCTGGAGCTCCCTGGCCAGCTAGCGTGACCTACACGGAGAAGTTCTGGGTCAGTGCGGCTAGCATGACCTACACGGAGAAGTTCTGGGTCAGTGACTGTCTTGATCCAAACATGGAAGACATCTGAGGAATAGCACCGCAAATCACCCTCTGACTTCACACACACACACACACACACACACACACACACACACACACACACACACACCAGTGCACACGTGTGTATCCAAACCACACTCATAACACATTTAAAAGTAGATGTGTTCATGTTGATTTGACTCATCCATAATTGCTGATGATTCCAGACTGAGCTAATGGTCTCACAGCAAATGACTGGCCATGAAGAATGCCCACAGTACAACTGCTCCCTGTCCTGTACCACACCATACTGGGTGGGGGGAAAAGCCCCACCAAGAGGAAGCTAAGCATGCCTGAGGGAAGCAGGACACGGTCATGAAGAACTATATAATAGTGATTCACATGTCGTTTACAGGCGGTGAAGAAAGAGATAACCCAAGGCCAGGCATGATTAATTGCTAACTGAATTAGTCGGACAGGAATGACAGGAGGTCAGAGTGGAGGATGATCGCTTCCGTGCCACGTCATCAAGGAAGACCACATCACCACACAATTAGAACTCTGCAGACAGGGCAGGGACAGAGAGTGAAGGAGGGGAGTAGTCGTTCCTACGAGGTGGACACTGAAGCCAGGCTGGGGGGGAGGTGGTACCCGGATACCAGTGATATTATGCTTCCCTTGATCAACGGTTGTTCTGAAGGATTTCCTCCATCAACCAGCAGGCCCTGTGGTGGGGAGCTGGGGAAGGGATGGGAATCAAAGGGGTCTCGGCTCCATAATGTGGTTGTCTTGATTGTCAACATGATGGGATGGAGAGTCACAGAAAGACAAAGGTCCAGGCATGTCCCTGAGGGTTATCTAGATTAAGGGAATCAGGAAAACCCACCCATTCTGTTGGTTGGAGTCCTGGGCTGAATAAAAAAGAGAAAGCGATTGAGCACCAGTGTTCATCTCTCTCCGCTTCCTGACTGCAGATGCCATGTGACCAGCTGCCTCACACTCCTGCCGCCATGCCCACCCCACCATGGTGGACTGTGCCCTCAAGTCACTTCCCGCAATGAGCTCTTCCTCTTTAAGTGGCTTCTGTCAGGTCCTTCACCACAGCAGCAAAAGCAACTAACAGGATGTGTGAGAGGACCCTAGGAAAGAGCTTCCAGAAAAGTCACAGCGGCCTCCAAAGCCCTGTGATCTCTAAGTGTCCCCCGAAATGGTGAGCAGGGCCCTGCAGGCTGGTGACATGCTTGAATGCTCTACAAGCTATCAGCAGAGGGTGTGGCTGACTCCAAGTGTCAGACATGTTCGGGGCTTCACACACACCCCCTCTCCACATCTGGGGTTACCAACCTGCCCCAAGCCATCCCCACCCTCCCTTCTAACTCCCAGGGGAGAAGCCTCATGATCCTGCGTGTCCCTCTACCCCTGCGCAGTGTGTTCTCGGGCAGCAAGGATGAGTGGCAGGCGCCCCCCTGCCCCACGCCTCTCGCTCCGGGCTCTTTGCCATTGTCTAAAAGCCTTCCAGATCTGGCCCCTGCTGCCTTTTGTCCTGGTCACTGGCCTTCCCCTCTGCTCTGCTCCAGTGACGCTGGGCTCTTCCCTCTGCCGAGTCCTCCGGCTTCAGACGCTCCACGGCCAGCTCTTGGGAGCCACGGAGCCATGGCCTCTCTCTCTTTGCCCTGCTTTACTTTTCTGCAAACCATCTCCATTTATCCGGGTTCAACAAGTAGACACTAGACCGGATTAAGCCACCAGGGTTTTGGGAAGGGGATGCCAGGAAAAGAAACTGGGAGGGAAATAGTCAATAGTTGGGAAAGGATCAGATTTGATGCAAGCCCAACCCAGTGAAGGGAGCAGGAAGGTCCTGCATGAAGGCCAGGGCTGCTTAGACATCCTGGGTTACCTCAGCACAGCTCTTGATGGGCCCCTGAGCCAACGTCCTTCAGTTCCCTCCCTCCAGGAAGTAGGCCTTGGGACTCCTATGGAGCTCCAACCACTGCCTAGAAATAGATTTGGGTTGAGATTGAGCCCCTCAGGAGCTCCTGCTCCTCGGTGCTCCCTGGGGCAGGAGGAAGATTCTCAGGGGCCCCAGAGCCAGACAATCCTCAGTCCACTCTGCTTCTCTGCTTCTGTTATTATCTCCCCCTCCAGGAACCGAACAGCACAAATTAGACATTTTGTTCATGCTAATCCTGGCACCTAGAACATGGCCGAGCACATCACAAATGTTCAGCTCAGTTTCTTGCATGAGGTGGGTGGGTAGATTTACAGACAGATCAATGGGTGGATAGGAAGATACATGAATAAACCCAGAAAGGCTTCCCCTCTCACCATTTTTGGGTCCACAGAGGTTTTTATACTCTCTCCCTCCCAATGTGGATTCTTATCGTATCTTTTTTTCCTACAATCAGTTCATATATGAAAATGGAGAGTCGGGTCTTGACCACCGATGCTTGGCTCCAGCATGAAACCAAACGCCTCTCAGACAGCCATCCCATGCAGGATAAATCTCAGTTGGTCCCTATCTGATCTTTGGGGTACCTGTGTAAGCCAGGCAGACAGGATTGCTCCTCTTGCAAGTAGGAAGTGGGGACTCATGGCATCTCTTTCTAAACACTGTCACTTATGCCCCTTGTCTTAATCTCCCACCATCCCTCACCCCAACTCACCTGAGGAGGCAGCAGATGCATGAGCTCCCAGCCAGGACCTCTGGCTCTATCCCTACCATGGGCAGCCTGTACAGAGCCCCCTCAGGCCAGAGTCCAGCACCCAGTAGGGCTGCAAGCTAGGAAGCTACAGGATCTAACCTTGTGCATTCTAGTCCCTGGCCGGCTCACGGCTCACCTCAGCACTCACTTAACTTGAACTTTGGAATTATAAAGGTTCACTCGTGAAGAGGTTAATACTGTGACAGGACCTTTAGATGTGGAACTCAGAGCTGCATGGGAAGCCTGGCTGTGATTAGTCATTCTTATTAATAATGAAGTAGAAAGGAAGTGGAGTCAAGGCGCCCAGTGACGGGCACGATTGATGGATCGCTACGTCCCTTTGCCATTTGTGAACGCCATTACCTTTACAGCTTAATCTTCCTGTAACCATTTTTCAATAATCATGGAAGAGAAATTAAATTAAATGCACCTCCTCACAACTGAGCACCGCATCCTGCCGCTGTGCTCTCTCAGAAGGACACATGGACTCAGACAAGTGAGTTCTCAGCATCCTTCGGCATCCAGGCTTCAGTTTCTGCTGTCTCCACCCCCGCATTCCTCTTCCCAGTACACAAATTTGGACCAAATTGGATAAAGCTCGTAGGTTCTGAAATTTACAGTTCGTGCCATAAATCCTGTGCGTCTCAACGGAATCCTTACTTTAAGTTAATGCTGACAAAGTACGAAATGGCAGAGACCTCATAAATCACAGCTCATGTCATATCAAAATTTCCAAACAGCTCGGAGTTTTGCCAGACCGGAACATACGCCCGCTTTCTCACCAGCAAGGAGCAGCCTATGGAAGTCTGGGGCGACCAAGCTCAGAGGTAGCCCTTTGATTTTGCTGTGATGACTTTGGGGTTGTTTTCATTCTCATTTAAAAAAAAAAAAAAGCTAACCCACAGCGGGATTTGTTTGGGATTAGCTTTCTTCTGTACAGTCCTTCATCAGCACGGGTGGGGGTGGGGAGAAAAGATGGCCAGACCCTCCCGCACATCTGTGCTTGCCATAAGGGGTTTCTGTAAAGAAAGCCTCACACAAAGAGTGTAAAAATAAATTACGGAGGCTCACGAGCTGAGCAGAGGCCGGAGCACCATCTGCTTTACGTAACATTTATTTTTCTGGGGGAAAAATGTTCTAAAACTGAATAATGTTCATGTCGTCTAAATATTTGCTTTCTATAGCATCCTGGGGATGTTAAGCAAACGTCCCAAAGATTTAGCCAGCATCACCGAATCCTGGGGAGGAAAGACGCATAGTCACATCGCCGAGCTGTGTTCAATTGCTATGCAAATGTGAGAGCCGTATTATTTATTGCTCTTTCAGCTCCGACAGTGGGAAATATTGCAGACTCCAAAGGCATCTGTTGAGTGTAGAGCGAGTGCCTGCAAAGCTGTGATCAGGTTGGAATCATGTTATTTCTGGACCCCTGGGTGCCAGCATGAAGTCACTGCCGTGAGAAACAAATTGCTCTGAGCTCTTTGCAGCCTTTTGCTTGGTGAGAGTTAAACACTCCAGGGGGAGGGTGGGGGGCCGCACCTTGCACACACGATGTGACTGGCTCTGGGTTTCGTCCCAAGGCTGCAGCTGAGACAGTCGCCTACAGCACAGGCTTGAAGGGGACCGCCAACCCGAGACCTTCAGTGTGTGGAGCATTAGACAAACAGCAGACCTTCTCTGGGTCTCAGGTTCTTCATCCGTAGCCTTGCCCAGGTTAGGACTGCTGAACCGATGAGGCACATGGATGGTGGCCTGCAGAGGCTCTGCTGGGTGACTGGCATCTGAGCTCTAGGGTAGGGTGGGGAGATGGGTCCTCGGGTAACATACGTGCTACACAAGTGTGAAGAGCTGATTTGTTATCCAGCACTACATGAAAAAATCCAGGCATGGTAGAGCACGCTTGTAATCCCCGTGTTCGGGAGACAGAGATGGCAAATCCCTGGGGGTCACTAGCTGAACCAGCAAGCTGCAGGCCAATGAGAGCCCCTCTCAAGAAAAAAAAAAAGAAATGTGACAGCACTGAGGAATAATACTTAAGGTTGGCCTCAGTCCTACACATTCATAACACACACACAGACACACACACAGACACAGACACACACACACACACGCAGGCACACACACATATACAAACATACACAGACTCATACAAAAACACACACTCATATACATAAACACACATACTCACGCATATGCACACAAACACAAGTACACACATGTGCACACACTCATACTTGTACATACACTCATACACACACATATGCACACACTCACACTTGTACATACTAACACATACACATATACACATGTGTGTATACATACACAAGCAAACACATTCACACATGTACACATGTACACATGTACACACACACACACCTCTAGTAGTGCACAATAGGAGGTTAAATAAAACCCCTGATGCGTCTTGGCTGGAACACTAAAGCTCTCACTGACTTATGAAGAAGAGTTGTGATGAGGGGAGGACTCATAAACACAGCTACACACCTGGAATGTGTCGTGCCGGGGGGTCTTGGGCACCTTTGTCTCCTTTCTTCCTTTCATATTTGAAGTCATCCAGGAGAATTTGCACAGAGCCCCAAACATCTGATTGTCCAGACCCTAAAGTCATCAAACATCTCTCTCTCTCGCCTATCTCAGCCCAAAGCCCTGTGGGAACTCCAGTGAGCACCAGCTGGGAACTCAGGAATGTCTTTTGCAGAGGTACCCCAAGAATGGCCTTTCATCCCCAGGTTCCTTCCGATGAATGTCTGTCACCTCAACCCCCAGATCACACCTGGAAAGTGTAAACTCATCATGGAGGTGTGATTGCCACCGGGTGCTGGACTATGAGGTCCACATCATTAGGGAGTCTCACAGCAGATCATGAAGTTCACAGGTTCCGTGAGGCCCAGGCTCCTGCAAAGAGTTTGTTTATTCTGATTTCTTGGGTGACACAGGAAGACAGTTCTCACAGGTGTGGGATGCCAGAGGCACATCTTGTTTCCCAAACAGGTCCCGTTTATCTCTGAAAATTGATATGTGTTGTTTTTGCTCTTTTCTCTTTTGGGGAGCCCTCAACCAGCTCCCAAATAAATCACACACAGAGGCTTATTCTTAATTATAAATACCCAGCCTTAGCTTGGCTTGTTTCTTGCCATCTTTTTTTAAATTATCCCATCTAGCTTTTGCCTCTGGGCTTTTCCCTTTCTCTGTTTCTGTATATTTTTCATTATTTCTTACTTCATGACTGGTTGTGTACCTGGGTGGCTGGCCCCTGATGTCCTCCTCCTTCTCTGTCTTGTTCCTTCTCCCAGACTTCTCCTATTTATTCTCCCTGACTGTCAGCCCTGCCTATCCTTTCTTCTGCCTTGCTATTGGCCGTTCAGCTCTTTATTAGACCACAAGGTGTTTTAGACAGGCAAAGTAACACAGCTTCAGAGAGCTAAACAAATGCAACATAAACAAAAGTAACACACCTTAAAATAATATTCTACAACAGATATGTCTTCCTTTCTAAAGAGAGTGTCCTTGGACCCAGCCTCTGTTGCATCTGGGTCATTCTGTCTGTGCCTTCACAGCCCTGGGTCCCTGGTAGCTCTAAATGGCTCCTGCTCTCCCTGTAATGACAACTTTCTCCAGGTATCCAGGAACCCTTCATATGCTGATGACACCTCCTCTACTACAGAGGTGGTCCGCACTGTGGGCTCCCCCTAGCTACCAGGTGAAAGTGAGTTGCTGAGCCTCCTGGGTCCTCCCTGGGTTGCTCTTTAGGCAATTCATACCATACCCCTTCCCTTGTTCTCTGGACACAGACACATGGCCATGGCCATTGCAACCGAGGACATTCATTATGTCCTGGAAGCCTCTGTATTGGCAAGCCTCCTTCAGTCTGAGGCAAAGGAAAAATCAGAAAGAAGACTGGGGGTTGTGCTTTCTTGAGGTGTTCTTTCCACTTCCTGTGGGACTTTTTAGGAAAACACAATCTCAGAATTAAACGGAAGGAGTAAGCCTGGGGAGAGAAGGGCAGAAGCAAGGAGAGGCAGCGGGGGCAGGCAGACTCAGTCAAGGACTGGCAGGCGGCGGCAGGGGCTGAGGGAGGGAGGGGCAGTGCGGAGGATGTCCCCAGCTGCAAAGCAAGGGAGACAGGACAGAGCACAGCCTTGACAGGTGACAAAGGAGGGCTATGAACCAGGGATCACCCATCCGAAGCTGGACCTTCTCTACAAAGGCAGTCGAGATAAGAGAGAATGACAGCTGAAGAGGGATTGTAAGGACAGATCAATGGTAGTGACAGGCTGGCACTCACCTTGTGTCATCTACTGAGGCTGGAGTATTGCTCTGTCTCAGCCCTGTGACACTCTCTACAAATCCACTAGTTACTGAACATGCAGAAGGGCCAGGAATCAAGTACGGACTTCCCTAGTCATGGGCTCTGAGAAATGCACCAGCAGGTTACACCACTGCACAAACAGCAGAGCAACAAGCCTGTGGTCTAGCCTGTGGCTACCAGACTGTGACCAACACAGCATATGAGAGAAAGCCAGATGAAGGAGAAAGTGGTCGGGACACACACAGGGCAGAGTGAGGCTCCTGCCAACGGAGCAGGAGGCAGTCTGCTTTGTGGTGAGCATTTTGATAAGTAATACCGAACTCAGATGTGCAGTGCAGCAAGGATGTGAGTCCAAACCACAGCTATTGTCCAATGGGTCTCACGGTGACGTATGGACCTGTGTTGATCTGAGGTAGTGCAGTAGGGTCCCAGGCACATCTCCACAATCAGGGAAGGAACAGACTGCACATGACATTGTCACATCAACCAAGTGAGGGGACTTTTAAAGTGTGTGTGTGTGTGTGTGTGTGTGTGTGTGTGTGTGTGTGTGTGTGTGT